TTGAGACAGGGTCTCACTCTCACCCAGGCTGGAGCGGCTCAATCATGGCTCACTGCACTCTTGACCTTCCTGGGCTCAGATGATCTTCCCACCTCACACGCCTGAGTAACTGGGACTATAGGCATGTGCCACCATGCCCAGCTAATTTTTGTATTTTTTTGTAGAGATGAGGTTTTACCATATTGCTCAGGCTGGTCACAAACTCCTGGGCTCAAGCAATCTGCCCATCTCCACCTCCCAAAGTGTTGGGATTACAGGTGTGAGCCATCACACCAGGCCTGAGGTATAATTTATATACTACAAAATGTACCTTTTAAGTGTCCAGCTCTATTAATTTTGACAAATTTATATATAGTCATCATAACCTCTACCGTAATCAGCATATAGCTCTTTGTTTTTTGAGATAGAGTCTCACTGTCACCCACGCTGGAGTACAGTGGCATGATCTCGGTTCACTGCAGCCTCCACCTCCCTGGCTCAAGCAATCTCCTGCCTCAGCCTCCTGAGTATCTGGGATTACAGGCATGCACCAACACGCCCAGCGAATTTTTGTATTTTTAGTATAGTCAGAGTTTCACCATGTTGGCCAGGCTGGTCTTGAACTTCTGACCCTCTGATCTGCCCACCTCCGTCTCCCAAAGTGCTGGGATTACAGGTGTGAGCCACCACACCTAGCCAGCATATAGCATATTTCTATCACCTTGACAAGTTTAGTCATTCTGAGGTGAGCTTTTCTGAGTTTAACACACTTCTGGCAGGAATATCTTCGTTGGAGTCTGAGTTTCTTTCATTTATTGCTGAAAAGCCACTTGAAAGTATGGTACAAAGTGATCTTTGGTGTGTGAACCAAAAGATCTGGGTTTTCAGACTGGTTCCCTGGGGCAGCATCAAGAAGTCATGGGGAGAGCTGTGTGACTGGCAGCTCAGAGAGAGGAATGGGCCCTCTTCTTGGGTGCTAGGCAGAGTCCCCAATCTGAGGAGCCCCACTTAGTAGCTGATGGCTTTGACCCATGCCTTGGGGCAATTGTACAGAAATCAAAGGTCTTCAAGGTTGAAGATTGCATGTGCATCCTGCAGTGCTATTCTCAGGTCAGAATATGTTTCCTGGTTCACTTTGGGACAACCTATCCTACAGCCAAGCCCAGAGGGAAAATTTGCTCTGAGCTGGTGCCTGTTCAGGTCAAGAGCCTTTTTCTTGGCTCCCAGATGAAAATTAGCTCTGCATCCCACTTCCTTCCTCTTGAAATGGACTTGCTAATTACCACTCAAGGTATTTTACTTTTTAATATACTGGGTATGGTGAGCCCCAAAGGGATTTCTCATTGCTTTGTAGGCTGGTGAATTCTGTAGCCAAATCTATTTAAGGAATTGCCTTAATTATTTCATTCTCCCCTTTTATTTTATTCTTTATTACAAGAGTGTTGCTGACAGCGACTAGGATTTGCTTTATTTTTCAGTGCATCTGGAACTGTGTTATGGTGACTTAAATGAATATGTGTTCATTTCTCTCCTTTATTCTCTCTCTGTGCTTTCTCACTCCCTAGGAAACCCAGGTTGACAAGAACTCAAAGTGCCTTTTCTCCGGTCTCCTTCAGCCCCCTGTTCACAGGTAAGGGTAATAAGCTTTCTCTCTTCTGACATCTGAAAATAGGAGTGTTCTGAGACCTGTTGGGAAACATTTGCAGATGCATCACAGGAAGCTGTAGGCGTGTCTGGAGTTATTTCCTTCATTCCTTTCCCAGTGGGTTTGGAGTGAGGCTATTTTTATGGTATGAAATGTGTTCTTGACTTTGGATGCTTTATAGTTGGAGGTAAAGTCTGCTTGTTGGTAATTGGGTGGCTCTAGCAGTTATGCAGTGCTTAGTTCAGGGTCATCACATATAAATTAAAACTAGGAATTACAAATTTATGGGCTCAGAGCACATAAAAGACTCCCTAGAAGTCATACAATTTCTGTCCCTGCTTCCAAGGGAGTTCATGGGTTATCTCATAAAAATGATCCATGATTATCTGGTCTATTTTTAAAGACTTTGGGCAAAAGGGATACATGAGCTCTTGTCTTTTTAGGGGCTTGCAGTTTTTGCAGCTGTTAGAGTTCTTTATTGTATCTAATTTAAGTCTGCCCTCTTGCAGCAGGGAACACAGCTGCTAAAGTAGGAAGTCTGTAGAATATCCTTTGGATGATAGGTAACTGCCTTCTCGTTTTGTAGGGAACTTTTTCAGAGAGGGAGATCTTCTGTTATGTCAGTCACATGTAAAGCTCCTGCATGAATAAGCTGTAGAAAAGTCTCAGAAACTGAGTACTTCTCATTGGTTGTGACTGAGAGGCCTTTAAAAAATTTCCAATCTCAAACTCCTTTGGGTATCATGTCCCTCAAAAAGGTGATTGGAAGACTTAGGATTTGGGAATGGATGCTTCCAGGAAGATGTTAAGCAGGCCAATGAGACCTGCAACTGGATAGACTGCTCTGAACTGTCAAAACAAGTGAATTGGTACCTGTATAGACATTTACTGTAGTGGAGAAGGAGATCTCTGTTTTTACCCAAGCCCAGAATTTAAAAATCTTATCTTGTGATACCATGTCATTCTAGTTAATAGTTGTTTTCAGGCCGGGCGTGGTGGCTCACGCCTGTAATCCCAGCACTTTGGGAGGCTGAGGCGGGTGGATCACAAGGTCAAGAGATCGAGACTATCCTGGTCAACATGGTGAAACTGAAAATACAAAAAAACATTAGCTGGGCATGGTGGCGCGTGCCTGTAATCCCAGCTACTCAGGAGGTTGAGGCAGGAGAATTGCCTGAACCCAGGAGGCGGAGGTTGCGGTGAGCTGAGATTGCGCCAT